ACCTTTCTAGGAATCTCTAGGTCCTCCAGTGCAACTATGTGGTCAGCATCTGCCAGAGGTTGGTCATGGAATCATGTTGGAGGACCTACAAATGCCTAGAGAAGTGTTTTCTCTAGGAACTTCTAGGTTCTCCAGCACAACTCTATAGTCAACCTCTGGCAGAGTTGCACTGGAGGACATAGAGATTCCTAAGGTAAAGGTAAAGGTATTCCCCGTTGACAAAGTTGTCAGTTGTGTCCGACCATAGGGGGCGGTGCTCATCTCCGTTCCTAAGCTGAAGAGCCAGCATTTTCCAAGGACTACTCTGTGATCTTGTGGCCAGCATGATTGCACAGAACGCTGTTTACCTTCCCACTGAAGTGGTACCTATTTATCTACTTGCATTTGCATGCTTTCAAACTGCTAGGGTGGCAGAAGCTGGGACTAATGACTAGTCATCCCATCATGCAGCACTTGAACGGCTGCCAACCTGCTGTTCTTGCAATCAACAGAGTCAGCGTCTTGATCACTTGAGCCACCGCATCCCTAATCAAATCCTCAAAAATCAAAGCCACAAATGTGGAGGGACAACTATAGTATGAAAGGCTCCCCTTTCCTATCCCCAGTAATTTCAATACAGCATCTCCCTATTTAAAAAACAACAACACAAATTCATAATCTGGGCTGTAGAAAAGAGTGGGTGAGGTGGGATAGTGTTGGGTCGGGTCTAGAGATAGAATCATAAAATTGGAAGGGATAAACAGGGCCAGTAGTCCAACCCCCAGCCATGCAGGAACACAGAACTAAAGCACTCTTGAAAGATGCCCATCCAACCTTTGTTTAAAGACCTCCACAGAAGAAGAATCTGTCACTCATTGAGGCAATCTATTTCACTGTCATATTGCTCTTACAGTAAATAAGTTCTTCCTAATGTTTAGGTTGAGAGCCAGCGTGGCGTAGTGGTTTGAGTATCAGATTACAACCGTGGAGACCAGGGTTCGATTCCCCGCTCAGTCATGGAAAATCCCACACACTGATCCCCAGAAAACCCCAAGATAGATTTGTCTTTGGGTCACTGTAAATCAGAAATGACTTGAAGGCACACAGCAACAACAAGAATCTTTGTTTTCTTGTAATTTGAATCCACTGTTTGTGTTTTTGTCTCTTGAGCAGCAGAAGACAAGCTCACACCATCTTTTCTCTGACATCCCTTCAGATATTTAAAGGTAGCTGTCATGGCACCTCTGAATTGTCTCTTGTCCAAGTTAAACATACACAGCTTCCTAAGCCGCTCCTCACTGGGCTTGGTTTCCAGACTTTTTACCATCTTGGTGGCCCTTCTCTAGATATTTTCTAGTTTGTCAATATCC